AACTGGTACTTAGGCGGAGACTAGACTGGTAAGCACGTGGCCAACACGTGTTCTCATCTCTCACCCCCAAGGTCGGTTGGGAGCGCAGGGACTTCTCTGCTCACCCCCTCAAAATCGATCTCGTTCGCGAGACAGAAATGGGCCCGCTGTCATCCATCGCCAAGCCTTCCGTCCTCGATAGTCCGATCGCCAAATCGAATGGTGTTCGCCCGCATACGCATAAAAGATCGAATTATCGACGCAGCGGTCGGACGTCGGGGATCAAAAATATCTACCTTAGCAATTAGTGCCTATTTGAGGATTTTTGTTGACAAAATGCAAACGAAATGGGGAAATCCTTCCTTGGTGTGATGCATTGACGTGCCGCGCTCGGAAGGGTCGGAATAGCGCCGGAGAAACAGAGATGTGGGAAAAGCAAGAGGATGATTATCTAGCGTACTGCAAGGTACGAACACGTTGGAAATAGTTGGGAACTAGCGTGCACGGTATGTGTAGCCCTTTTTTATTTGTCTCCTGATGCAGAAAATGTGCCCAGGATGATTGTTCTGGCGGGGAGCGCAGCGAACTAGGGCGGAGGATGTGTACATAGCCTTAGCATGAGGGTGGGGCGTGGAGTGGGGAACGACGCGTGGCTTTATGTTGGTAGGGGTGTTGGGTTAGGAATGCGGTGAGGGAGTTGGGGGTGCTTGGAGATGCTTGGAGGGCTGGATGAAGGATGGTGTGCTGGTGGAGAGATGGGGAAGTTGATTGATGGTGGTGTGGCGTGGTTGCTGGGTGGAGCGGATCTTCGTGGGCTTGGCTAGGCTGCCTACATACTGTATTGTGGATTGGTACCTGCAGAGAGATGGGCTAGTTGCATCCGCTTTTTGGGGTCTTGGAAGGGTGGAGGGGACGTGGAAAGAAAATGAATAGATTGGTAATTGAGAAGATAAGGAAGGATGGTTTGGAGTTGTGGTTGTTGAACGTGGGCTGTTGCTGAGAGTTTCGAACGTTCTGTGATTATATTTGTACTAGTGGAAACACTGCATGAGAAGTCGGCAGCACGGTTAGGCTTCTGGAGTATTGAGAGAATGTAGTGACGAGTAGATTTGTCTCAATATCGTTGATGAAAAATACTGAAGAAGGCACGCCAGGTCAGAATAGTAAAAGTAGAGGTATTTCCTTGTTAACAACCCTCTACATCCTCACCAATGTATTCCACCATCTTTCAGGATTCATAGTGTTAAGATATACCATTCAGCTGAATCCTAGTGGGCGACCAATCTGTTTGCAGGGCTAACATACGCCATGATTTCAAATTATGCACGTACAGAGAACAACTCCGATTTGCTTCAGTGAGGTAAGCACCACCCCCCAAAAAATCAATTCTCCGAATACAGCTTTCATGAACAACCCTACGTATCGAAGCTGACATCGATCTTAATGACAGTCTTTGAAAGCTTTCGATATTGCAGGCGTGAGAGTGCATGTCACGTGCCTTGATCATTTAACCACTGATGCTACTCCTTATGTAGGTTAGTCATTACATTTTCATTATGCACCCTCAGTGATCCTTTTCATCTTCAAGTCAAGTCAGTTCTCCTTCGAATTACAACTTCCTTAGGAATATGGTGGCAGAGTGTGCTCCCGAAGTCCCGAGGGCTGGTCGTCTGGTAATAAAACGCATATACACTTTGCAACATTCTTCTACCCAGAATAAAACAGTCCAATAAAGAGAATCCAGGTCTTCCTGTTCGTCAAGTACTTATCTTGGTGGGCATTCTCAAGATTTAAATCTCCTGTAATATTTATAAAAGACAGGTGGCTCATACACGTGGTTCCAAAGCCGACACAGGAGTTTTTGATACGAGATAGAACACTAGCGAATACAGAAATCTAGAATAAACACGAGGGAGCGGAGTCTATCAAAAAAAGATAGGCTAGCAGAAAAATCAAAGGAAAAATAGGTGGAATCAGATACATCAAGAGCCCCTGAAGGGATTGTCAAAAAGGCATTTGACTACAATATATATATTTAGACTGAAATAAGGAGAATTGATACAGCAACGATGCAACAGAGATCCTCGCCTAATCATTGTCTCTAGCCGGTATTCTGGTCAAAGTATTAGTGGAAATAGTGTCTCACAGGTAATCATTGTCTTCATCGCATATTTTGATTAGAGTTATCAACTTGTTCTAGATCACACCTGTCGGTAGTTCCACGGACACTTAAGCGGCATTTCTGATAGAAGAATAAACATCAAGATTTTTTCGATTGAGAGGTGTCCGGACTCGAATAATACAACAAATAGATTGAAGAATAATGAATGAACTTGCGAAGAATGCATTATCTGCAACGAAGACCGCGTAATCAAACTTGATTTATTCTGGACTTGGGTTGGGTCCTTGGGGGGGAACGAAAAATCGCAACGAGTTATTGACAGCTGCACTTGCAAGCTCTGTCCAAGCGAGGCATTTCAAGTACCTTAGAATGTGATCGTTCAAAGCCTTGCACCCAGAATCAAAAAAATCGTCGGCAACATGCCCCCAGGCAGGTCCTTTCTCTAGGGAGATTACTTCCGTCGTATAAGCCGTCTCTGGGATGGCTTTCCTGATAACTTCCGCTTCCGCAGGTGCCGTTTCTTCCTCTGGAATGGGGTCTTCACCTGGTTGTGGCAAAGCCCACTCACCAGGAACTACAGGCGGAGACGCCCGCGCTCTGGCGTCTTTTTGCTCCTTCTGCAATATTTTTACTTCTTGATCTCGTAGTACCTTATATTGTTCCTCAATTCCAAGCATGTGCCCCTGTCTTGCCCTTAAATCTGAGTGGATGTAGAGTAACATTTCCTGTTTCCTATCCATAGAGTCATGAACCCGTCTTGCAGATTGATATTGTAGTGTAAGACGTGTTAAGCTTTCGCTAGACAATTGGTCTCTTTCTATGATTTCTTCCATGCTCAGCTCGTCTCCTATGACCGCTGTTGGACCATCCCATGGACTCACTTGTCTCTCTGGTAATGGGTCCGTAACATTATCCACCTGGTTGAGTAACATGTTAATCATGTCCGATATTTCATGACTGAGCTTCTCACGTTGCTCCCTGAAAAAGTACCAGAATGCTCTGGCGGGGAAAGAATTCCTCCTGTAATCCGCGTGAGCATGTTGATCAAAAAACTCAAGTTTGCCAGAACTGTGAGCAACCAAATTCCGAAAGTCTCGCATATCAAAGCGTATATATTGGCCATCATCGGCATACCCTTGTATTGAGGGGAATCGTCTTCCAAGTGGGGCTCTACTCAACCCTATAAAGGCTGGGCCTATGTTGTATGCCAAAGTTTCCCACATGGGAAGGTAAGAGTGAGTGATTGAAATTGCGGCTAGAGTCTTTTTCAACTCGTCGGAAACTACGTCAGAGTCGAAATTCATTGCATCGAAATCCTTATTGCCAAAATTCATGGCCGTAACATAGGAATCAGACCTGAGTCCTGACTTCATGATGTGATATGTAATAGAGCTGAGATAGAACTGCACCGTTTTTGCGCTTCTGTACAAGAATTCGGCTTCCCCAGGCTTTAATAGCCTCGCAATCTCGAAATTGACTCCGTGAAGAGGGAGGTTACGACCGGTACCCTGTCCATGTCCCTGGTTTCCCGCCGATGGCCCTCCTGTTGCACTGCCAGTATGACTGTCGGCTTGTGTTGAAGATGATTCAGCCATTTTGAGGCTTATAGTTTTTTTTTGGAATCTTATGCTATAATGATAGCAGCAGTACCGAAGTAGAATTTGAGTGTCTCTTTGCCGTATGTATATTATATCGAAATATGTAGTGCCGTCAGGAAAATTGGACCAGTTGTCAGATCCAATTTCTTGACCTTTGTGATGTCCAGGTCCAAAGTATCAATCGCGGAAGGATTCGTAAGGTCGGGGAAGGCTTATGATGAATTCAGCTGTGAAGAAAATTCACACCAGGGGTTATGTGCCGACCATCTCAATGGTTTTGTATGCCAAATTCTTTGTTGACCGAACCCAGGTGGGCCTCGTCGTATTTCTTTGTTCAGGCCATTTTCGAGTCCTCCTGCACACCCTTGCTGTGTGCGATAGTTTGAGCAATGTTCGAAGACATGACGCATATCTCCTTTTCCGGAGGAAGTACTAAATTACTGAATAGAACAAAGAAGGTACCAAATATGTTGTGGAGTCCAGAGGAGGCTAGAAGAGAGATGCCATAATTCTATATAGCTAATACTTTCACACTTTGCACCGACGATTTTGCCTGATGACAGAATATTCGAGTAAAGGGAACAATGGAATAACTTGAAATGAATGGTATTGCCTAGCAATAAAAAAGGGGCCATGGAGGGAAAACCCTAGGTTCCATGGCTCTTGCGGAGCTTAGAAGTCTGGATAACTATACCTATACTTTTGTTATTTTCTTCTGTTATTTAACAGCACCTACTTAGTACATACCTTTTCCTTCTGCGCGTTTACTGTTGTAAAAGTCTGTGTAAGTAGTATATTTTACAGCTTTCAGATGTTCTCTTTCGCCCTTTGTAGCCTGTGTTTCCAATTCCGGAGAATCCTGCCCCGTGAGGGCGCGATTCCATTGTCGCAAAAACTCCGACGTCAATTCTACATGCCTAGCTGAGTAAAAGACTGTACAGGCTATGGAGGTGCAGCTTCAGGGCATAGTTCGCAAAAACAAAGATTGTAATGAGTGAGACCAGTCTCAAGTAATAGTACGCAGTTTTGGCGAGGAGACGTAGTTTGAATCGATGAGTTGTGATGTTGTTCGGACGTTTTTGACAAGGCTCTCGGCTTAACAAAACGAGAGAGCTTTCACCCCTGACTAGCCCCCAAGACCTTTTTGAGCCCCGCATACCCCGCAGTTGCAAAAATTCAAAGCAAATCTTTTCATACGGAAAACTGAGAGAGGCGGTATAACTTATACTTCCAGTTCAGTAGCATTGTACTTCAAAGATAATAATATACTAAAAGCCAAAATTATCATCAATCAAACAACATCCGATATGGTCTAGTGGCTAGGATTTGCCGCTCTCATTGAGAGTCAGTTCACTGATTGTAAGTGCCGGCAAGGCCCGGGTTCGATTCCCGGTGTCGGAATTATCTTTTTTGCTGGCTGGCGGCGATGAGGGCCAAGTTGGGGATGAGTAGGGTCGTTTTTTTGGGGGGGGTGTGGGCATGGTAGATGCGGCGATGCGCGTACGATATGCTAATTTTTGAGACAAAAACTAGCGGGAACATCGAATAGATTTTTTTTGCATAGATGAGACATCATGGGATAGGAGAGTAAGGGATGGGTGGTGCAATAGGCATGATGGGAGAGATGTCTTCATGGACTTCAGCGAAGTACGGCACGACACCCTATCGAGAGAAATATGTCCAATGGACAAATTCTTTGGATTTATAGTACTGCGCAACGACAAGTATTAATTACCTAACTTCATCTTTTTTTATATTGGTAAACGAGTCGCTTTTTATTATACGCGTCTAGAACAGGGTTGCATACATACATCTAGAAACCACCATGATGACTATAGACGTACCAAATACTGCATGCAGGTAAGATGCTTGTATACCAAAATTTCTCCCTTTGCAAATTTACCTCTCAATTGGCTATAGTCTTAAAAGTGTAGCCAAAATTTGTATCGACCCGTCATGATTGTGAGTCAAGATGAGTCCGTCAACGAAGGACTACTCGAGGGGTGTTCAGCGAATGTGAAATTTTGGGTAAACAAAGAATTGTCAATCGCACATCTGTCAATTTTAAAGATCTATGAAAATGTTTTTGGTGGAATGATTTCATTTATAAGAGTCATAGAATTGGTATTAGATTGCCGAAGCCGTAGGAGGGTTAGCAATTAGCCAGTTCTCCCAGAACCTCAAACCATCTAAGCCTTGTTCGCGGCATAGGGCGCCGCTCTCTTCCGCCATCTCTAGTTCCTCGGTGGCCACACCAACACTCCAGCCAAATCTTTCAGCTGTTTCTTGAGCGGTCACTCCTCTTCCATACAACTGCCAGTCCCATGATACCTCACTCAGTGGTTGTATGGTATGTAGTTCTCGTAGCCAGGCTAAGAGACTGGCTATCGTTTTCTCGTCGGTACGGTCGCGGCCCTGTACAACCAGCAGACCGCTTTTGAATTGTCGTAGTCGAATGGGTAGTTTGAGTTTATCCCACATCCTCGCCGCTTTTTCGAAATCCATTGGGCTAACTAATTCAACACCACCTCTGGCACGATTGACGTAAGCCCACAAATCTACAAGAGTCATAATCCCGCCCTCTTTCTTCAATATGCCTCTTGTATCATCTGTCAGATACTCTGCGAGATTTTTCGACAACTCGGAGACATACAGCGACTCCGAGCCGGATCCCAGCATGTCTTTTGTTGTCACAAGGCCGAGCGCTGTAGCAGACTGTGATGCAAGTGCACTTGCTTCTGAGCTACCGTTTGTTCCTATGTTCGACTGCAATGCGAATCGCTCAGCGAGCGCAATAATCTCTTTGGCAGATGTCATGAGAGCTTCAAGGTCCTCAAATGCACTTCCAATGACTGCTTCGTTATTCTTTCTTTGCTCGAGCCCTCGACGTTCCAGCCCAGCAATACCTACCGCCCTGCTCCTTTCTGGATCTTCAGCAGGCTGGCTTACTTCGAACGAACCGTCATTGAAGTTACCAGAAGCCGGCCTTGGTTTGGGGATTGGTGGGGCGCTCTGAAGTAGCCACTTTCGCTGGACGAGGGCATTCTTGAGTCTCTCGTAGAAAATCTTGTCACCTCCACTTCTGAATGAAAACTTAATACATTCATATGTTTGATCTGGGACCGATGAGGCCGGGAGAACAGGCCCCGGAGAGTCTGACCGACCAATGCTCCTCGCAATCTCCACCCTTTTATCTGCTGCTGGAGGTAGTGATGCTCCACACATCTCACAGGTGGCCAGGGATGGGTGATTCTGAAAAGTACATCTGGGACACAATAGGGAATTCTGACCAGGAAATGTAGACCCTGGATTGATGGCGCTCAAAGTAGAAGATGTTCCTCCCTTATCGCTTTGTGGGATGCCCAAGGGTTGCCTTTGTGTAATGGCTGCTAAAGCTGCCTTCACTACAAGCAATAGTGGAGGTTTTATACCGCAGGCGAGACACGGAGGAAGTGGTGTTCGCGCATTGGCCGTGGCTGGATCGAAGTTGGAGGGCACTGGGTTGGAAAAGGAGCATATAGAGCATACCCATGTGGCGCTGAGTGTGGGAGGTGGTGCTGGCGAAGAAGCAAGCGATCGCTGAGGACTTCCGTGTCTCTCGGGAGTGTTTGGTACTGTCGCGTGACTACGAGTCAACTGCTTCAGAGGTTTTGGATATAGCGTGATCTTTGGGGAAGATTTGAGGAACCCAGCCTAATTCGTGATTAGACAACAGGGCACAAGGAGTCGAATGGTACACGCACGTAGAATTCGTGTCGATCGACATCTTTAAGGAAGATGGCGACTGAGTTCTTCCGCGGTTCAGTATGATCAACGTAACACACCCGGTGCGACGTCAGGTAGGCCTGCCCATCCTGATACTGCGGGATCTTGAATTTCCTACGAACACACTGTTAGGAAGCGCAATGGCTGGCAAAGAGCGGCGCACACGGCCTACCTACCCCTCATACAAGCCTACAGCATCTTGGACGAAGAGGAGAGTCTCCTCCGGCAGAAGCGACGGGCGCGAGGCGGTGGTGAGGTCGAGTTGATGCAGAAACATTCAGGCCATGTGGGTGAAGGGAGGATAGATGAAGTGCAGACAGTTGCATATGTGCTAGCATGGCCCAAGAAGATCCAAGATGTGTGGGATCGCTCTGGAATCTGGTGCGGGATGCGGGCGATTCGGGTGGGCAGCAGCTTTGCCTATCACAGCCATTTCCGGCCTAGCGCCACGTAATAGTCCAAGCTAGTCTATATACAGTAAGCTCAAAATTGTCGGTCAAGTGACTAAGTGCCTCCAGCCCAGGCTGAGTCCAAAAACCCACACAGTCGCTTGCCTCTCGTTCTCCTCTCCCGCCTCACCTTCAACAACTTAATCGTACCAACCCATCCCCCGCGCCATCTTTGCCTCGCACTGCCTTCTCATAGCAGCGTCCCTCAAGTGTAAGAATCCTTCGATATTCCTCCGTCCCACCGTTTCTGTCCTTCCCTTCCGACGCTTTCCTGTTTCCCCTTCACCATGTCTATGCCTGTCACCGTGGCGTGGCAGTCAAGAGCACCACAACCACCGGCATACAACGCGGTTCCCGCCCGAACGACCCTCGCCGATTTCTCGCGTCCGATACATCGCACTCCTCCGCCTCCGCCACTCAGTCACAGGCCGTTGTCTGAGTCTCCATCTCAGGAGGCGTCTGTCCAGACACCCAAGACGACCGAAAAGGTCAAGGTTGCCTGGACTGATGCTTCCAAACAGTATGTCGCTCGTGCGATCGCCAGTCTCGATGACGGCCTTCCTGCGGGCATTACGAAAGCGGACTGTGCGGCAAAACTGAAGTCAACAATGAATTATTTCGGCGAGCGGAACAGTCTTCACACGGTTGACTGGCCAAATTATCCCTTGCCTCAGGTCCTTCTCTTGGGAGAACGAATGGGGACCAGCTCCAACCCGACCGAGAGCATATCAAACTACGTGATTCCTTCAAGCGATTCTACTAACAACCAACCCCTTGCCTCATCATCGAAGCGGAAGTCACAGGACATGGATGGCCTGCAACCCTCATCCTCGCCTGCAAAAATTTCCATTCCTCCATGGCAAAAAACTAACTCCCTCGTTGATCGTATTTCGTTTGCCAATGGACAGAAGGACAAGCGCACGAAAAAGAACGCGTCTGCCGCAGACAGCCCAAGTAAGTTTGACTCGACCGATCTAGAGAAGCGTAAACAGCGCTTTCAGCTCGGCGCAGCTGTCAGTAAGACAACCCCACCATGGAAATCGTCGCGAAACGACTCTGACTCGGAGGAATCTGATGCACCTATTGTCGGCACCAACCAGTCGCTTGAGAAGAGCTATTTGCGCCTGACATCCCGACCAAAAGCAGAGAGTGTACGTCCTCAGCATGTACTTGAAAAAACCCTTGACATGCTTCGACAGAAGTGGAAAAGTGAAGAGAAGAACTACAACTACATCTGCAACCAGTTCAAATCATTACGCCAGGATCTTACCGTGCAGCATATTAAGAATCCATTCACCGTTCGCGTTTACGAGACTCACGCCAGAATAGCATTGGAGAAGGAGGATTTGGGTGAGTATAACCAGTGCCAAACACAGCTTCGTGCCTTGTATGAGCAGAATCTTGGAGGACATCCTGCAGAATTTCTGGCATATCGCATTCTCTATTTCGTGTATACTTGCAACAAGGCCGACATGAACGACTTGTTAGCCGAATTAACCCCAGCAGATAAAACCCAGGACGCCGTAAAGCATGCCTTGGCTGTGCGTTCATCGCTTGCGTTAGGCAACTATCACAAGTTCTTCAAACTGTACCTCGAGGCACCGAACATGGGCCCGTATCTGATGGACATGTTTGTCGCACGCGAGCGTCTCAGCGCCCTCGCTAATATTTCCAAGGCGTATGCAACCCACCTTTTGCTTGAAAATAGAACTTTGCTGATGACTGGCAGATATATGTCAATATCGCTCCGATTCCTCACGGATGAACTGGGCTTCATGAACGCTGACGAATGTCGCGCATTCTTCGAAACCTACAATGTCCAGCACCTCATCGAAGAGAAGGTTGACGAAAAGACTGGAAAACAATCTCGCGTGAACATGAAAGGAAGCGCCGCCCTATTCGACAAATTGCGCGCAAACGCTTTCAGCAAAATAGACATCAAAGGGCAGATATGACCTAGCACAATCTGCCCTTTCCTTCCTGAATATACTTATACCCGCCACGAGGGTCTATACTTACCCTCTACAAGTTTTCTTTCGACTCGCACCACTTTTTCCTACGTCATGAGCACCTTTTTTCCCCGCAGAGGCGCACCCTCAGACGCATATTCCCCGGTGTCAATGCTTCGTTTCCCTGATGTCAACCGACCGGAAGGGGATATGCCCGCTTCATGCAAATGACGCGCGG